GGTCATCTCCCGATCCAACACCGCGGCCAGGTCCTCGCGGTTCACCCCCGCGAGGCCGGCCGGGCCCGCATCGCCAAGAAGCCCGTGGAAGATGTCCGCGAAAAGCCGCATCACCGAGGCCTTTTCCGGAGGGGCGCGGCAGCGATGCGCGATCAGCCCCACGCACGCCTGCAGGAGCTCCTGGCGTAACCCACGGACCCGGCGATCCCCGTCCGCCTCCTCCCGCCGCCGCTGCTGGGACTCCGCTTGGAGGAAAAGATGGGCGTACCGCCGGCCCACCCTGGAGGCGACCGCCTCGGTAAGAACCTTGAGGTTGTGCACGAATGGCATAAAAAGCATCATGATGGCGTCTTTGCCTTTGGCGATGAAATAATCCCCTAGGACCTGGGCCGGCGCGGCGTTCTCGAGGATCGAAAGGTAATCCTCAAACGCCAGCACCGTAATCCCGCTCAACCCCATTTGGTACAGACAACCGTGAATGATTTCTTCGGGGTTGGCGAGAAAAAGCTGACCCGAGTGGCAGCGCACACCCGCGTTCGGATGGGTGAAAAGCCCAAGCATGCCGGGATGGGACTTGATGGTGCTGTTCAGCTGGTCTTTGGAGACCGTTAGGGAAAACGATTCACACTTTCGGAGGCTGCGTGTACTTGAAGTCTCATCGCCGCTCTCGTTTTCGTGCCCCTGTGGGATGTTGTCCGGCTTGAATCCTTCATGGGCGCGGTCCCCCAAGAGAAAAGTAATCACCACCCCATCGAGAGGCGGGAGGGTCTTTAGGAGGGATTGGGTCTCCTCGCACGCGTGCGGGGCCGCCGCGTCGGTAGGATCCTCGGCAAACACCACCTCACGTAGGACGCGGCGCAGGCGTTTAATGAGTTTGTTTTGCGGACGCTCTGCCAGGCCAAACTCGTCATCCAGTGGGATTTCCCGGCTATCGCAGTCCACACGACAGACCTTCCGAGCGTTCGACCGCACGCACTGACGGGCGGTGAGCGAAAGCAGCTTGAGCAGCAGCAGCTTGGCCTCGGCGGCGGTGTAGGCCTTCAATTTGGGGCCTGCCAGCTCGCCTTTCGCGAGCGCGCGGGCCTCGTGCTCGGGAACCGTCCCCCCTTTCGTATCAAGGGCGGGTGCGGGGGCAAAAATGACCGGCGCGGAGAGGCCAATCAGCGCCTCCGCGCACCACAAACTCGCCGTCGAGCTTTGGATGGGTAATTGCGCGGCGGCGTTGAGGGCGGTGGCCCATTCCGCCAGCCCCAGCGGCGTTCGCGAGGCCACGTAAGGCAGGAGCCGCCTCTGCAGGACGCGCTGGCGGGAGTGCGAGAGAAAGGGCCATCGCG